ATACTGATATCTCAAGTATTGATCATCACATTTGAATAAAACTTGGTACATAAGTGCTCTAGGACAATAGACAGCCTGATTAATTTTGGGTTAAAATCTGTTCATATTAATTCTCTAATTAGCATAATAATTAATATTATTTTGGTTCTAATCACATTTCAATGAAACTTGTTACATTGCGCAGACCTTATTAGTTTTACACTTAAATCTGTTCATATTAGTTACCTAATTTGCATAATTAGTTTTCTGCGTTTCCATCAACATCTCAAGTTCAAGTAATTTTTAATTAATTTTGAATGTGTGTCCAATACTCTCAGCACACGGGAGTTCTTTCTAAGCTTTCTTTGATTTTTTGTTTTTTACAGATCTAGACGTGAATACCTTTTCCAGCTTAAAAAAGATTTGGCGTCCTATTATAGTTACAATGATTACCTTATTGGAAAAATAGTTGAATTATTTGCAATTACCGAGGTATGTGTGCTTTTGTATCTTGTCGCTATAATGTTCTGGAGAACTCTAAAAGTATTCAAAATTCCAGATACCAAGACTCGCACACAAGGAGATGCACACAACTTCTTTAGTTGAAAGCCAACGTTGAAGTGACGTTTTATTATTAAACTAGTGATCAGCGCATGGTCAACATATATTTCGCATTGAGATTACCTAATAAAGTCATGGCCATGATGTGTGATAATGTAACCCTAACTCAATGAATAAAAGTAATAATAAAATAGCAAAGTTGTATATATATCTTCTTGTATTAATCGTATATTATGCAATCATTTTAGTGTACTTATAAGGTCATTCTGCTCTGGTGGCCATTTTGAATCTCACTCTGATGACCATTTTGAACCCCATTCGGGTGGTCATTTTAAACCTTTCTCAGGTGGTCATTTTGTAACCCTACTGAAAATTGTTCAAAATATATTATTTGAAATTCCTGACAAAAAAAGCTAGTTCAGTAAGTATTTTCAATCAACTTTCAAAGGAATTGTTCAACAGAATTCTGAATATTCCTGTGTAAAAAGTGTGCGTCTTGGGTGCTAATAATATAAGATTATTTATATTATCTACAGTTAATAGAATTTCTTGAAGCCAATGAAGTACAACGGCCTATAACAATTAGAACAAATACATTAAAGACAAGACGGAGAGATTTGGCACAGGTAGGACTTTTCCCTTATTTGGACGGCTTAACCTCCAAACGACTTCTGTTTTGTAAAGGATGGAATTATTCATTCTTGTCCACCATATATTTTTGGTACCAAATAAATATACAAATGTAATGTACATGGTAAAATACACATTCAAACCTGTGTATAGCGACCACCAAAGGGACTCCATTAAAAAGATCTGTATGGTCTTTATATGGATGTTGAATTATTTTTTATGAATCTCCAGCTCATTTGACAAATTTGTTCAGAAAATGAGATGGTACTGTTGGAACAAAATGCATTTATTCGAGTTGATTAAAATCATACAAGAAATTAAAAATTGTCACCCAAAAAGTCTTTTCAGTGGAAATTAATTAAAATAAAGTATTTTACAGTAGATTGTTAGAGATGATTTTGTTTTCTACTACCAATTATCATATGAGATATCAATATTTTTGTAGGCTCTTATAAATCGTGGTGTTAATCTTGATCCAGTTGGAAAGTGGTCTAAAGTTGGACTCGTTATCTATGAATCTTCTGTACCTATTGGTAAGTTAAGATCACACATCCTGGCATTATTAGTCCCCGTTCGGACGCAGTCCGAAAACGGGGATTTATGTTTTGCCCTGTGTGCGTCCGTCCGTGCGTCCGTGATCACCTGTATCTCGAACATGCATGGACCGATTAAGTTCAAACTTCACTCATACATCACACATTATATGGGACATATGCACATGCATTTTTTTCATGATCTGATTAACGATAGCCGAATAGCGGCCATTTTAAGGCCGAAAATGCATCAAAATCGCACATTTTCACCATTCCGGACCCGGATCTCAGTTATGCATGGACGGATTTTGTTCAAATTTGGTACATACATTAAACATAATAGGACCTTGATGCACGTCATTTTTAGTCCCCGTTCGGACGCAGTCCGAAAACGGGGACTTATGTTTTGCCCTGTGTGCGTCCGTCCGTGCGTCCGTCCGTCCGTGCGTCCGTGATCACCTGTATCTCGAACATGCATGGACCGATTGAGTTCAAACTTCACTCATACATCACACATTATATGGGACATATGCACATGCATTTTTTTCATGATCCGATTAACGATAGCCGAATAGCGGCCATTTTAAGGCCGAAAATGCATCAAAATCGCACATTTTCACCATTCCGGACCCGGATCTCTGTTATGCATGGACGGATTTTGTTCAAATTTGGTACATACATTAAACATAATAGGACCTTAAACTCATAGTTGCTGTCGACATAGGAAGTAAAGTAAGGTGCCGTACGCGAGCGCTGGTTCGAGTCACGCACGCAGTACGTATTTACTATAATTAGACATAGTCTTTACCTTGCCGTTTATTCGGTGTTATTTGCTTATAATAGGACCTTGATGCACGTCATTTTTAGTCCCCGTTCGGACGCAGTCCGAAAACGGGGACTTATGTTTTGCCCTGTGTGCGTCCGTCCGTGCGTCCGTGATCACCTGTATCTCGATCATGCATGGACCGATTGAGTTCAAACTTCACTCATACATCACACATTATATGGGACATATGCACATGCATTTTTTTCATGATCCGATTAACGATAGCCGAATAGCGGCCATTTTAAGGCCGAAAATGCATCAAAATCGCACATTTTCACCATTCCGGACCCGGATCTCTGTTATGCATGGACGGATTTTGTTCAAATTTGGTACATACATTAAACATAATAGGACCTTGATGCACGTCATTTTTTTTTTTGGATCGGGTTCGAAATGGCCGACTGGCGGCCATTTTGTTTTAAAGAATTCAGTTCTGGATCCGTATCTGAGACATGCTTGGATTGATCGAGTTCAAACTTCACACACACAAGGTACATCATGTCACAAATATGTATGTGCATTTGTTTCATGATCTCATTAACGATAGCCAAATGGCGGCCGCTTTAAGGCCGAAAATGCATTGAAATCGCACATTTTCACCATTCCGGACCCGGATCTCAGTTATGCATGGACGGATTTCATTCAAATTTGGTACATACATTAAACATAATAGGACCTTGATGCACGTCATTTTTTTTTTCGGATCAAGTTTGAAATGGCCGACTGGCGGCCATTTTGTT